CATTTTTAAATTTTAGCTGATGCAAGTAAAAAGAAAATCCTTTTTACCACTTTGCATGTTAAACATAGGCAATTCTCTCTGTTTAATCTTGTCTATTATACTGACAAGCTTGGCTAATCAAGCAACAGCATGGTACATAGTTTTACACTTCACATGGACAGTTGCCCTTTCTTGGCAATGAACTACATTGTTGATGACAGAATTATTCCCTTATTCCAAAACATTATAAACTGGAAATATTTGAGTTGGATGAAATATTTTGGCCTAATTTGGCAAGCAGTTTTTCCCTACTGTTTTGGACCTCCTGCAGCCCCTTAAGACAAGACAGAGATGTTTAGGAATGCATTGCCATCTAACTGAATTGGTCACAATTAACACCTTGTTTCCAAGAGATAATAGGAAAATAAAGTCACTGGGTGAACCAAGCCCAGGTGTGGGCACGCGACATCCAAACCACGCACGCATATGTGTGTGTGTGCACGCGCGCGTGGTTTTTAGTAACTCATTAAAATCCTATCACAGGAACATGTAGGACAAAAGTTCTAAGAACAGTTGGTTTTAAGTGTAAGGCTGAAAAATTTAATTAGAAGAAAGAATAGTAGAAAAAGCTCTAGCGGTTTTTATATTTTTAACTAACAGACACCTAGTTGCTTATATTTATTCTAGGCACTTATGACTGTCCTTTATAAGTGCTAGCAAAAATTTCCCATTTAAAAAACTTCTCACTCACAACTTGTACAGAAGTCCCATTTGATCATGCAACAAAGCCATAAAAAGAGGTATGTGATATCACAATTCTTCACTTGGCAATCAATTATGTTAGTGAAGACAGAAATTGTACCCTCACTCCATAAGTTATCAGAAGTTGTAAAGAAGTATAATCTTATTCTTATATAAATCTTTAAGAAATAACTGAGTAAAAGGAGAAAAAGTAATGAGCCATGCTATGATTTGTTTAAAACATTTTTTCATGTTTGACGTCCCTTTCATTTCATGTCCTGTAGAAACATCTAACTCTTCTTAATTTGGAAAACTAAAATTATGAGAAGTACTAGTTTTCTATAAATTGCATGTGTGTCATATGAGCTTGGAAATATATTATGACTTTGGTTAAAGATGATAAAATGCTACAGTTAGTGTTATTATAAGAAGGAAATGAAGAACGGAAAAATTAATTGGCGACTGGCTGCTGTATTCTGACGAATTTTAAACTGAGGGGTTTTTTTCCATTACACGTCAAATTTGTAATCGATTAAGATAGATAGTCTGTGCTACTTAAAAAGGATACATATTGGATACCCAACTTCATAAAAAACACTGAAAATCTTTCTCCCCAAATATTTCCAGCTTGATAAGAGCAGGCAAAAAGCATTAAGAAATGTAAACACACAAAAAAATTGCAAATCCCACCTGATGATCCAAATATATGGCATTCCTTTGAAGGTGATGTGAAAGAATCTCATTCTAGCAGGCAGCAGTCAGGGGGGAAAAAGGAAAGGGACAGAAGGTGCAGAATGCATGAAAAGAGCTTTGAAAGATGTAAACTAGACAGTGATCTTTCTGTTTTACGTAGAAATATAATGCTGTTTTTATCTGCTTTTTTTTTGGTGAACTGTTAACAAGTTTTGATCCCGAAACAAAAGCGATGGAAGTTTGCCATGAATCAGACTACGAACTACTACATTACATTTTGGTTTTACATATAAAATACAGTAAGCTTATGTAAATGTCTACTACACAGACAACTATAAACCCTTTGATAAATCTGTTTTAAACATCTCCTAATTTTTGTACACAGATTACAAATAGGATTGTATCAGATATGAGGCAGTATGAACAATAAATTAATCTCGTGATCAATCACTACTAATTTTGATTATAACAACAATAAGTTAAAAACCTTTAACTTTAAACTTAACTACAATATATTTTAAAACATTCCTATGTAATTTTGACCCAGCTAATATCAAAAAGCTATAAGTAAAGCCTCAAAGGGTTAATAGCAGAACATCACATACACAAAGAACCAATGTTACTCTATTCTACTCCCATAGTAGTCAGACGATTTTGTACTAATGGTACAATGCAAACTTTGATTAATGAATGACTACAAGTTAGTGAGAATGGTACATGACACACATTGCTTTATAGCTGACCTTTGGGCTGCTGGCCTCAAGTTTTAGTTGCATGAGCTGTGCTAGTGTGTGTTCCCGGATACTACTCAGTTCAGCTTGCTGCCGTCTCAGCTTTATTAGCAGCAGCGTGAGCTCCTCTGGCTGAAGGAGTGCAGTGTAAGAAGCCAAAGAGTAGAAAAAAGGTTAATTGGTATCCTAAACAACACTTAATTAAAATAAGGGTTCTTAGTATCTCTCTTACAAAAGCTTTCTATAGTGATACAACAAAAGATACACCATTTTTCCCCAAATTGACCACTTTCAAATATATAACGAAGGGTTAACTTTTAACTACTCAATACGATTGATACTGCAAATGCTGTAAAAGTGGAACATTCTGTATAAAGGACAAAAATAAGTGAGGATTTTGCAGGAGAAAGTCTGTGCAGCCCTCAAATTTTTTCTGACATGCATATCAAATTGCTGATATTGACTTAAGGGAAGGGGGAGATAATTCTAGCCCTTAGGATATCATTACCTGTACATGGACAGCCATTTGAGCTTGGTGAAAGAATCAAGAAGGCCCTCAAGAAAATTTAGTTTCTAAAATAATTCTTCAAATGTATGTATCAAATTAAGAGTAAAAATAATAAAGAACCCACGATAACTGAACTACGTCAGAAACAATCACCTTTCACAAAATAAAACTGAACAAGCATGACAAAAATAATTTTCCATCCCATGTTCCTCAGGTCTGAGGCTACCAGTTAATTTATTGCTTTACTTTTATGACTAAGATGTACAATACAGCCTTAGGAAAGGATGAAGAATAGTATTTAAACCCCAAGATTATATATATAATGGAAATAAAAGTCTCACTCAAATGGGTATTTGTCAGGTAATTCCACATAGATCAGTTTAGGTCAGTTTGGGGAACTCTACCTGAACCGTTCCTGGGAACCACTTCTATTAGCAATACTTCAAAGAAAACAAAACACTTAACGTCACAAGTTATTTTTGTAATGTTCCTGTTTGCTTATGTTTCTTACACTTCTCCAGAAGTCAATCTTATAAGAGGTTAAATATTCACCCAGCATTTTGATTTTCTCACAAGTTCTGTGAGTTAAAAAATAAAACCAAACCCAAACACAAAAAACCCTAAACCCCTGCATGCTCTCTCCCACAGTCACAGAATTTCCCCAAAGCAAAGAAGTACAGAAAAAAGCTCCAGAGAACCACATATTAAATTACCGAAAAATGAATACCAGGTTCTTAGAATAAAGAAGAAAAAGCCCTGAGAACAAGCGTGGTACTGCCACCGTTGTGAGCTCGTACCGAAGTAGCCCACAAGAGGGAGCAAGGGATTTCCACATAGCTTCAGTTGTCAAAACCATTTGCTTTGAGGGAAAACCAACACCAAAGCCAAATTGTCTAGTGGCCAATCTTCCTCTTATAGTACTCTTTAAATACCTGGGTTTAAAACACTTGATTTCATAGACTAAGCATAAGAATCTAGACTGCTATACAAGACATTTCCAAGTTCTCTCCAAAAATCAGTGATAATGCTTTCAGTCTGAAAATTAACATAATTTCGAAGTACAAGAAAAGTTATTTTTGGAAATAAGAGAAATGAAAGTAGGATCTTCAAACAAAAGGAACAGTAAATCATTTTTTCAAGATCAAAATTCTTCTTGGTATGTTCTGCAAAAAGCCCAATTTTAGAGCATTAGGAATAAACTATTTAATGGTACTTAAATCCAATGTTTGCAAGCAAACTTTTTTCCATAGAGAAGCTCATCAAACAGTAATTCCTACTTCTCTCTAGATATTCATAATGTTGCAAACATTTTTGACTGTAAGTGCTGTGCTTTTGATACAGCTCTCAGGACTCTTGCAACAACCACGACAGAATTTTGTTTAAAGAGCTACCTACAGGTTTCTTCCTCTGGCCCCTGAAACACTTGTGCTGGGGGCGGGACTTCTGGTTTCTACAGGGAGAAGCTTGAACCTCCTTGCCCCCAGCCTGGCTCATCGGCCTGGCTCCAGCAGCAGAGCCCAGGAGAGCTGATGGGGCCACGAACCAAAAGAAAAGTCTGCAGAAGACAAGGCGCAGAGATAAGGCGCCAGCTGCCAAAGGCCAACCCGTAAGTTGCTGAAGGTGCCAGGGATTCATGCTGGGAAGTGCAAGAAACAGGGGTTGAGGCAGTGGAAGGATTGACTGGGGAGCTGTTGCCCACAGTATGATTCAAAATCTGTATTCTCAAGTGATAACTGTCTTAAACAGTAATTTCAGATGGACAGAGAAAGATTACAGAAAGGAGACAAAAACTGGTAAATATATGCAGTAAATTTAGGAAAATTTCTTAGCTTTTGGCTAAGAGTCATGTTTCAATTAGGAAGGTGGACAGTATTCACCAGTATTACTTTGATGAGATACCTTCAATAAGAGTTTCAAGTCTATCACAGAAAAATGGGAGATGCCAGAAAGGACATCACTTTAACAAATGCTGTTTCAGTATCCTTAAGATTTCCAGAAAAAGTAAACTTTACTTCTAGGATTTTCTAAACACTTACTAGAGAAATAAGTGTTCTGTGATGTACTCTACCCTCTCCCAGGAATTTCTATAATGTATCAAAGATGATTTTAAAAAAAAAAAAGTCTGTATTTCTCAAAGAAAATCTGGAGTCAGTGGCTATGCAATATTCTCAGAATTCAATGTAACCAGAGAGTACTACTTTGTTTGCTCTAAAAATCCCTGATAATTAAAATAAAGGCTACATTTAATGCAAGCTTTGAATAGAATAAGACTTCAGAGTGTTACCTCTTCATACTTAAAGAATTATTCATAAGAAAAAACTCATGGACCAAATAAAAATCCAACTCACTGTTTTGCCTTGGAGGCTCTGAGGAGTAACAGGCTGTAAACTCAGACCTGCTGGCATTGACCTCCTGTCGGGCACAAAGACATGCTGTACAAAAACAAAATAGCACAGTATGATCCATAGTTATCTAAAGACTCAACAACTATTAAATGCTAAAAAAAAAAAGTCAAGCCAACTTCACACTCACGACAAATTTGCTATGATTTGTGCCAGCTTTGGCCAGTCATACTCCCTGCTGATCTACTATCTAGGGCACTTGAGTAGGCTACATCTAACTTCTCGAAATAACCCAGCTTTCATCATTCATTTAATTAACAGTCCTCCCTCACAGCTGTTGCCCTAATCATAGCCCATGTAAACAACAACAATCTTAGTTTTTCACCCATCACTGAAAGCTGTTTAAAAACCTAAGATCTCTATATAGAGTTTAAATCTTAAATTTACCCTACTGATTTCAGTCTTCTAATTACCCATCTCTTAAAAACAGGTTTGTGTTTCTAAGTTAATGGAAAAAGCTAATTATGTAACTAAAAAACCACGAAGCAAATAGCATGAAAAACTGAAGGTAAATGAGAATCTTGTATAAAAGATGCTAAATATGAAATGAAATACTAGTATAAAGTGTCCCACAAGGAAAAAAATATGAGAAAGCAACCCATGGCTGAAAGGACAAGTAAGCACATGCTCTATAGCACTGACCCTAGTGGTATTTCTCAGATTTGTGAGAAGCACTGATTACTAAATTTCCAGTGCAGCTGAGACATAAAGGATGTCAAAACAAAATTACTCCTTTGTTGATGGAGACCTAAAAACTTCCAAAACCAAGACTTGGTAATCAACTGTAAGTTGTTCAAACCGCTTTAAGATGTAAGTAAAGATTTTTTTCCTGCATCAAGAAACATAAAGACACCCGAAATAAAGATTTGGAAAAAGTGCTCAGGAGCATTTTATACAAAGTCTAGTTTTAAATCTAACCGAAAGAGTAATTTTTATGTAATTATCACCAATTTATTAAAAAGCATGCATAACAAGCATGATGGATATAGCAGAGCCACATATGGCACCCACATTTACAGTTCTTCCTGTCTCCCTCTCACCGATGAAGACCAGCGAAATTACACTAGTCAAGCACTAAGGTTGTGTGCAAATAGGCTCTGATCTTTAGTGATCTCCCTAACAACTCAAAGGCACCAAAAGAAACAACTACACTCAGCTTTCTGCTGGAACCCAAGGCAGCCAAACTTGCAGCTGAAGATTAGAAAACAGCACGTGGAAAGAAATCTGGGATTTTCAGTCCTCTTGGAGTTCCAACTAAAAAAGCTGGAAAGGAGAAAGTTTTCTGTACATAAACCAAACTATTCTGAATAATTTGCCTATTCACTCTTTTTCCTTTAGAGAAACATAATATCATGGACAGTAATATGAGGACAACATGTTTTCACCTAGTGTATTAGAAAAATATCTTTTTACAACTTTTAGATTGTTAAATGCTTTTTAAAATCAAACTTTTCTTCATGAAAAGTGATGTAACTTAATCTTCATTATACTAAAACATACTACAGTGCAAAGTGAGTTTTACAGTAACTGTATATTTTCTACTAAAAATCCTTTTAAATAAGACTTTTAACTATTAAAATAAGCATTTTAACCTTAGTATGATGCGTCCTGTGTCTGCGATCAATAGTTACATCTCCCCTTTGCACTGGTGAAGACACTTCTGATCTGTAGGTCCGCTGTGGGGAATATCCTTGGAAACCAGCGATTGAACCATGAGAAGGTGAGGTGGGAATTGAATGCATCGTCTGATCAGAAATATTAATCATAGTTTTTGGGCTACTTAAAGTACTGTGTCTAGTAAGAGTTGTTTGCTTATTGTAAAACTGACGTTGCTGCCATTCATAGAGCTGCCACATTGTGTCATCACGCATTGACCTCCGTTTTTCTTCAGCTGTTACTGGTCCTATGGCTCTGTCATAAGCTGATGGTGTTACGCTACATAGGCTCTCCGGCCGTGCTTTGCTGTTTCTTGGCAGTGTTCTGTAGCCTTCTGGGTACCGGGGTAAAACTTGAGGTCGATGGCTTGGCATGTTTCTTGGTAATGTCTGATATGAGATTATGCTGAAAAACAAATTTTCTTTTTATTAGTGGACAGCCTTAATATTACAGCAATATAAAGTTTTTCAATATTGGTTAGGTTTATCTTTTTTTTCACGACTACAAGTGTAATTTTAAAAACATGCAAGAAAATCAAGACAACAATTAAAGAATCAACTACGCTGATTAAATGCACCGTAGCAGCCAAAACTGGATCCTCTCTCTGATTAGCTGCTTGATTGAATAAGGCTAAGTGCCATGTCCTGCACTTGGGTCACAACAACCCCACGCAACACTACAAGCTTGGGGAAGAGGGGCTGGAAAGCTGCCTGGTGGAAAAGGACCTGGGGGTATTGCCTGACAGCCAGCTGAATATGAGCCAGCAGTGTGCCCAGGCGGCCAAGAAGGCCAATAGAATCCTGGTTTGCATCAGGAATAGTGTGGCCAGCAGGACCAGGGAGGTGATAGTGCCCCTGCACTCGGCACTGGTGAGGCCGCACCTTGAATACTGTGTTCAGTTTTGGGCCCCTCACTACAAGAAGGACATTGAGGTGCTGGAGCGTGTCCAAAGAAGGGCAACGAAGCTGGTGAAGGGTCTAGAGCACAAGTCTTATGAGGAGCAGCTGAGGGAGCTGGGGTTGTTTAGCCTGGAGAAGAGGAGGCTGAGGGGAGACCTTAT